TGATCTCCTTCTTGAAGTTTCTTGATGATCTTCTTGATTCACTTCAAAGGGACTTCAGTAATTGATTAATTCAATTATTGATTGACGCCCAAATCTAGTTCGCCCAACCCTTGATATAGTTTAGGGAGGGGGCTGTTACAATCACTTGGAATTATCTCTTGAATAGATAGTCCAGGTTAAACTCATCCTATCATATCTTATCTTATCTCTTATCTAATGATCTCAATCTTTAACTTTCTAGAATTACATCACAAATTTAAATCTGGGAGGACTCTTCTCAGTTTCTTATTCTTGTATTCGTATTAGGCTTCCTCTGCGAATTGGGCTGCTGCAAGTCTTTTCTGCCAGTTGGGCTTCAGCTGCGAATTGGGCTTTCCTACAAATTTGCCCCGACTTCAGGCCCGGATTTGACTTCGATGCAGGCTGAATCTGCGAAAGGCCAAAACATAAAGTTGTATCTTTCTCTCTTATCTTTCCAGTGAGTCTTGAATCAGCCCAATCGGATCTCGGATACGAGAGCTAGGCCCAGATTACTGATCGGTGCTGAAACTGTGAAAAATCATCCGATTTGCCTTGCTTTTCTCCTGATGCCTTCTTTCATGCCCTGAACCGAAATACAAGAGTAATGAGTCCATTTAAATGTAAATTAAGTGTAGAAAGACTGAATTTTCATAGATAAGAATATGATAAATTTTATTCGCATCAGCCACGTTATGCAAAGTTCTTGAAAGAGATATTGGCAAACAAAAGAAAACTGGGAGGTGTGGCTACTAGTTGCACTAAATGAAGAATGCTCGGCAATCCTCCTCAACAAGCTGCCCCAGAAATTGAAAGATCCAGGGAGTTTCACTATCCCTTGCACTATAGGCAGTTTAAAAATTGATAAGGCATTATGTGATTTAGGAGCTAGCATAAACTTGATGTTATATTCGGTTTTCAAGAAATTGGGATTGGGTGAACCCCAACCCACTAGAGTTGCATTGCAATTGGCTGATAGATCCATTAAGAATCCTTGGGGAATCATAGAAGATGTACTTGTTAAAGTTGATAAATTCATCTTTCTACTTGATTTCATTGTGTTAGACATGCAAGAGGATGTTGATGTCCCTCTTATCCTAAGGAGACCTTTCCTAGCTATGGGGAAGGCAATGATTGATGTCCAACAAGGGAAACTCAACCTTAGGATTCAAGATGATGAAATAATTTTTAAAATGTCTGATGCTATGAAACATGCACCTTCTAGTGATGATTCTTGTTACATGATTGATGTTATTGATTATGCGTTCGATGATTGCTTTCAGGTTAGCAGGTTGGCCGATCCCCTTGAGCTATGCATACAAGATGGAGAAGCTACAAGGGGAGAAAATGAAGAGATTCAAAGCATGGCAGCATACCTGAATGCCAATCCATAGTTTTAAGGGGAAGGATTCCTCAAGTTGGAGAGCTTGGACAGACTGCCAATGCCAAAAAGCAAACATTCAACTCAAGAGCCACCCACCCTTGAGCTGAAGCAACTCCCACCGCATTTGGAGTATGCTTTCCTAGAGGCACCGTCAGCCCTACCGGTGATCATATCAGCAGCCTTGACCCAATTGCAAAAAGAAAAATGGTTGATGGTGTTACGGGAACACAAGACAGCTTTGGCTTGGAAGGTAGCTAACATCAAGGGCATCAACCCATCTATATGCACGCATAGAATTCTGATGGAAGATGGAAGCAAGCCATCGGTTCAGCCCCAAAGATGCCTGAACCCGAATATGAAAGAGGTGGTGAAGGCTGAAGTCATCAAGCTGCTAGATGTTGGTATCATTTATCCTATCTCAGACAGCTCATGGGTGAGCCCCGTGCAAGTAGTGCCAAAGAAAGGTGGCATGACCGTAGTACTGAATGCAAGGAATGAACTCATACCGACTAGGACCGTCACCGGGTGGCGAGTGTGCATTGATTATAGAAAATTGAATGAAGCCACACGCAAGGATCATTTCCCTCTCCCTTTCATTGACCAAATGCTAGAGAGGCTGGCCAGACATGAGTATTAATGTTTATTGGATGGGTATTCAGGTTATAATCAGATTCCAAATTCATTGGAAGATCAGGAGAATACCACCTTCACTTGCCCCTACGGTACCTTTGCCTATAGGAGGATGCCATTCGGTTTATGCAATGCTCCAGCAACTTTTCAGAGGTGTATGATGGCAATATTTTTTGATATGGTTGAGAAGTTTATGGAGGTCTTCATGGACGATTTCTCAGTCTTTGGTTCTTCATTTGATGCATGTTTGAATAATCTGGAGAAGGTACTAAAGCGGTGCAAGGACACACATCTAGTGCTGAATTGGGAGAAGTGTCATTTCATGGTGCAAGAAGGCATTGTGCTTGGGCATAAGATTTCACAGAGAGGTATTGAAGTTGGCAGAGACAAGGTGGAGACAATTGAGAAGTTGCCACCACCAACATCCGTCTGATTTGTGAGAAGCTTCTTGGGACATGTCGGGTTCTATAGAAGATTTATCAAGGATTTCTCCAAGATAGCTAAGCCATTTTCCACTTTGCTTCAGAAAGATGTGCCCATCGAGTTCACAAACGAATGCCTACAAGCGTTCAACATCCTGAAGGACAAGCTGATCAATGCCCCGATCATTATAGCACCGGATTGGACACTTCCTTTTGAACTGATGTGTGATGCGAGTGATTCAGCAGTGGGAGTTGTTCTAGGGCAAAGAATGAACAAACACTTTCAGCCGATCTATTATGCTAGCAGAACCTTGAATGGAGTTCAACAGAATTACACCACAACAGGAAAAGAACTACTGCGGTAATCTTTGCTTTTGATAAGTTACGTTCATGTCTGATTTTGTCCAAGTCATTGTGTACACAGATCACTCGGCATTAAGACACCAACTCGCAAAGAATGATGCAAAACCGAGGCTGATTAGGTGGATCCTATTGCTGCAAGAGTTTGATGTTGAGATCCGTGACAAGAAAGGTACCGAGAACCTAGCTACTGATCATCTATCCAAATAAAAGGTATGGTCCCTTGGTATGCTGATATCGTGAATTACTCGGTTACTGGAATTTTGCCTGGTTATCTTAGCAAGTCAATGAAGGATAAAATTAGGTATGAGGCAAAATATTATGTTTGGGACGAACCTTATTTGTGGAAATTTTGCTCTGATCAAGTGAATAGGAGATGTGTCCCTGAAAGTGAACATATGTCGATTTTGAATTTTTATCATAATTATGCTTGTGGTGGCCATTTTGGACCAAGAAGAACTGTTATGAAGGTCTTAGATAGGGGGATGTATTGGGAAACTTTATTTAAAGATGCATACTTGTTCTGTAAAAATTGTGAAAGATGCCAACGAACAGGTGCATTGTCTCGTAGGAATGAGATGCCCCAAAGTGTTGATTGAATGCTGGGTTTGGTCAACTAAATTAGGAAAACACGAGGTTTATTATGGCTATCCTAATAAATCTGAAGGATAAATGCTTGAATTGCAAGACTGCTGATTTTTTTTCCAATGATCGATGACCAATTGACTCAATTCGAACCCTTGGATCAGAATTGATAAGACTGAATATTCCTTGTTAATTGTTATTTGCTCTTTAGTTATTTTAGAAATTTAATTATTCGAATTTCCCACTCTTTATATTGTGCATTCGGCTGAGAAATTAATTACTGGCTCCCTGTGGGATTCGACCTGGTACCACTGTTACTACAAGTTTATAGTAAGGTGGGACTAGAATTAATTTTGAGGGCTTCAACAACCCGTCAGGGGGTCAAAACCTAGGTATGTTGGGGCAGTCCGAGAATTCACCTGAATGGGTGATCATAGTAAGAGGATCAGCCCCTTTGTCAGACAAAGTGACTGGTCGGGGAAATGCACTCTCTGATGGAGACCTAAACTTACGACAGTGGATTTCAAATGTGTTTGAAATTTGGTTTTGCAAAATATATTTATTTAGAGATATACTTATATATTATGTTTTCACAAATTGTTTGCAAAAGGTTTTATTTCCCGAGATTCATGTGAGTAGAGAGTGCAGCATTGTACCTTGTAGCCGAGGGAGGGGTCCTCTCTTGTCGGGCATTATTTGATCATTAAGGGTTGAGAGGTTAGTATAAGACCGTTGAGGATTATACCTGATGGGCTAATCTTGCATCTGCCCACAGTCCTTGGGTCTCCATAAGATGGCTGGACCCAATGACCATTTAGTATAATTGTTGGGCCCATTAAGAGCCCATGGTGATGGACTTAGGGGCTCACTCTCTTCTACAGAAAATTCGGCCAGGCCTTGTAATTAAGGCTGGGCTAAACCCATGTGGCTGATTTGTAGATCAATGATAGGGTCCCGCGCCATACAAAGAGAGCCAAACTAGCTGATGAGACTAAAAAGTACCCTATTTTTATCCCCAAATATTCATTCTTTTACATTTATTTAGCACTCAATTGGACTCGTTACTCTTGTATTTTGATTCAGGGCAAGCAAGAAGGCGATTGGAAAAAAAACAAGGCTAATCAGATGATTTTGCACAATTTCGGCACCATTCAGTAATCTGGGCTTAACTCTCGATCCCGGACTCCGATTTGAATGATTCAAGATGAACTGGAAAGATAAGGGAAAGGCCCACAACTATTATGTTTTCGGTTTTGACATATTAGGTCTGAATCGAGGTCAAAATCGGACCTGAAGTCGGAACAATTTCATAGTAAAGCCCAGCCCACAGCTGAAGCCCAAATTCGTAGAAGAGTCCTATAGCGGCCCAAGTTATTAAAGAAGCTCAACTCGAATTCAAGAATGAAGAGTCCTATCAGATTTAAATTTCAATTGTAATCCTAAAAAGATGAGAGATTGAGATTACTAGATAGGATAGGATTGAAGTAGATCAGATTAGGACTTTCTAATTTTAAAAGTTAATCTCCTAAAGGGAGTAGGAGAGAGCCCCTCCTCCTAAAGCTATATAAAGGGGGGGGGACCAGCTTTAGGCATCTCAATCAAGCATCAAGCAACTCCATCAAGAAAGATCAGTTTGGCCTTCTGAGAAGCAAAGCCTGGAGGATTCGAAAATCATGAGCAGCTAAGCTTTTCTTTTCTGGTTCAAGGGGGGAGGTTCGATTGTGTCATCGTGAGGTTCTGTATTTAATTCAAGTTCTTGCTTTTTAATTAAAGTATTCATTGATTCTTGTACTTATTCTCTATGGATGTTAGTGTTAATTAGTCTGACATATTAATTAATGTTGATTTTCCTACTGCTATCCGTGGTTCGGTGATCCGTAATTGTCACAAATAGTGGTACAAGTAGCAATTAGGTTAATATCTTTCTGGGTCAATTGTTCGTGACAGCCTTTGACCAACGTATTGACATGTTTTAACCTAAAGGGAATCAATGGAACAAGATTCAATAATTGCAGCTATCTCAATTATTGTTATTTTGGTTTAACTGTTTTCACAAAGTTTAATGCTATCACTAGTTAATATGGAGCGCTATCGTACCCAGTCGATTAGTGACAAGTGTTGATCGAATGCTGGGTTTGGTAAGCTGATTTAGGAAAATACAAGGTTTATTATGGCTATCCTAATAAATCTAAGGTTAAATGCTTGAATTGCAAGACTGCCGAATTTTACCTATAATCGATGACAAATTGATTAATCCGAACCCTTGAATCAGAATTCGGTAAGACTGATTTCTCTTGTTTGATATTGCTATTGCTTTCTTGTTCTTTGAGAAATTTTAATTATTTAATTTTCCCACTCTATTATATTGCGCATTCGGCAAAGATATTATTCCCTAGCTCCCTATGGGATTCGACCTAGTACCACTATTACTACAAAAATTTTATTGTGGAACTAGCATTAATTTTGAGGGTTTCGACAACCGGTCAAAATTTTGGCGCCGTTGCCGGGGAGGTACTTTAATTTCTTATCTTGTTACCTTCTATTTGTGTTAACCTTCTTTGTTTTATGACCCATGCTTCTCAAAGAGGTGAACTAGAGTACAACCCCGAAATTGAGAAGACTACCCGTCATTTAAGGAATGAGGCAAAGCAAAGGAAGGACCGTTCACCGAAAAGGGTGAATTCTGAATTCGGCCTACCAACTTGTGATCAACCCATCTTCGAAGAGGAAGAAAGGATGGCTGATAGAGAGAGAACACTAAGGGAGTTGGCTGCACCGATCATGAACCAACAACCCCTATGCATAATATATCCTACTCTTGAGGTAGCCTTCGAACTAAAATCTGGTTTGATTCAATTACTTCCTATTTTTCATGGCTTTCCAGGTGAGGACCCTCATAAACATCTCAAGGAATTCCATGTTGTCTGTTCAAGCATGAAACCATAGGGTATGACCAAGGACCAGGTAAAATTAATAGCTTTTCCATTTACTTTACGAGATAAAGCAAAGGTTT